AGAATGCATAAGGAATATGTGGTAATATACACAATGGACTACTACTCAGTGGTAAGAAACAATAAAATCTTGAAATTTACAGGCAAATGGATGGAACTAGAAAAGACCATACTGAGATAACCCAGTCACAGAAAGACAAACATGGCATATACTCACTCAAAAATGGCTACAAGACATAGAGCAAAGGATCACAAGCCTACAACCAGAGAAGCTAGGAAACATGGAAGACCCTAAGAGAGGCATACATGGTCCCCCCAAGAAGGGTTAAGGGAAAAGATCTCCTTAGTAATTATCATGGGGAGAGGCCAGTGGGAGATAGACAGAGAGGAGGGGAAAAAGAGAGAGGGAGAAGAACATGTGGGATCTGGATGTTGGCTTTGGGGTAAGGACAGAGAAGGAGAATAAGGAAAGAGATTATTTGATAGAGGGATCCATTATGGGGTTAACCACAAAATTGGCACTAGGAAATTACCATGAATCCACAGGATGACTCTAAATAAGAATCTAAGCAATAATGGAGAGGTTACCTTAAATGTTCTTCCTGTATAATGAGGTTGATGATTACCTTGAATGCTGTCCTAGAGCCTTCATCCAGTAGCTGATGGAAACAGAAGCAGAGATTCACAACTAAACACTGACCCCAACTCCCAGAATCCAGTTGTGGAGAAGGAGGAGTGATAAGAAAAGTGGTCAAGGCCATGCTGGGAAAACCCACAGAAACAGCTGACCTGAGCAACTAGGAGCTCAGTGACTCCAGACTGACAGCTAGGAAACCTGCACAAGACGGAAGTAGGACCCCTGACATGGGTGTCAGTTGGGGGCCTTTTACAGACTATGGGACCTCTGGCAGTGTAACTTGTATTTATTCCTAGTGCATGCACTGGCTTTTGAATACAACTCGCTATGGAGTGATACCTTGCTCTGCCTAGATAGAGGGGAAAAGCCTTGGTTGCCCCAAATAATTTTGATGGAAGGGTTTATCCTCTTTGGGAGTCTTTATCCTCTCAGAGGATTGCATGGGGAGTGGGATGGGGAGATTGTGGGGGCAGTAGGAAAATGGGAGGGAGAGGGGATATGTCAGAGTTATTTTGATTTGCATTTCTCTCATGGCTAAGGATGTTGAGCAAATTCTTAAGAGCCTTTTGGCTAATTGAGATACCTCTGTTGAGAATTCTCTTTCGATCTATACCCCATTTTGAAAACTGGATTATTTGGTATTTTGATGACTAGCTTCTTGAGTTCTTTGTGTTTTGGAGATCAGCCCTTTGTCAGATGTGGGTTGGTGAAGATCTTTTCCTTTTTCATAGGTTTACATTTTGTCTTGTCAAATGTGTCCTTTGCCTTACAGAAGCTCCTCTGTTTCAGGAGGTCCCATTTTATTAACTGTCAATCTCAATTAATTGTCTGTTACTGGTGTTATGTTCAAGAAGTTGTCTTCTGTGCCAGTAAGTTCAAGGGTACTTTCCACTTTTTCTTCTAAGAGGTTCCGTATGGCTGGATTTATGTTGGGGTCTTTGACCCATTTTGGACTTAAGTTTTGTGCATGGCAATAGATAAGGATGTATCTGCAATATTCTACATGTCAGCATCCAGTTATGCCAGCACCATTTGTTGAAGATGCTTTCTTTTTCCATTGTATAATTTTAGCTTCTTTGTCAAAGATCAGGTGTTCATAGGTGTGTGGATTAATATCAGGATCTTCAATTCAATTCCATTAGTCTATCAGTCTGTTTTTGTGCCAGTTTCAATCAGTTTTCATTACTATAGCTCTATAGTAGAGCTTGAAGTCAGGGATGGTGATGCCTCTGGAAGTTCCTTTATTGTACATGGTTGTTTTGGCTATCTGGGTCTTTTGTTTTTCTATATAAAGTTGAGTATTTTCCTTTCAAGGTCAGTGAAGAATTGTGCTGGGATTTTGATGGGAATTGCATTGAATTTTTAGATTGCTTTGGTAAGATTGTCATTTTTACTATGTTGATCCTACCTATCCAAGAGCATGGGAGATCTTTCCATTTCCTGATATATATTTGTTACAAGTATGTTTTTCCCTGCCACCAGTCCCAGCACTGCACCAGCCCCAAATAACACACAGAGACCCTGTATTTGATATAATTCTGTTGGCCAGTTGCTAGTTTCTTATTGTCTAGCTCTGTCTTAATTATTGACCCCTTTCCATTAATCTAAGTACTTCCATATGGTCTCATCTTACCGAAGAGAGGAACTGGCATTCTGCTCTCTCAAGTCTCAACATGCTGACTCCTCCCTACTACTTCCTGGAATCCTCCTTGTCTCCTAGTCCTGCCTATCTTGCTTTCCTATTGGCCAACAGTGCTTTATTCATTAACCAATAAGAGAAACATATTTACAGAATGACGTCTCCCATTATATATTCTTTAAAGAGATGAAGTTTTTGTCTTACAGGAATAGCAAACAAACAATATGTGAAATTTGGCGTTAGTTTGAGTTAGTATTATCAGTATAAAACATCATGAGAAAAGCAACATGGGAAGGAAAGAAGTTAGTTTGCTTATATTTTCATATAATCCTTTTTCATCAAGGAATTCTCAGAAGGAACTGAAGTAGGACCATGACTTGGAGGCAGAAACTGAAGTACAGGCCATGGAGTAGGTTCTCTTATTGGCTCCCTCCTCATAGATTCCTATGCTTGATATGTTATATTACTTATTAGAACTGCCATCCTAACTGGGGAACCATGTGTAATAGGTTATTCCCTCCCTACTTGACACTAATTAAGAAATTGACATTCTACTTATCTGCCATCATTGTCACCATCACAGTGAGTCATTTTTTAAATTGAGGTAATACTTCATTTGAACTTTTCTTCCTTCAATGAATTATGGTTCAGATCAAACCAAGTGGAAGAATATCTTTCCTTTCTAATTGCTTCTTGCTCTGTTGTTTTATCACAACTTTATCAACACCAAGATATCACTGGACCCTTGTCAAAAAGGCAAAGATCTACCAAACCACTTAAAATGACAGTTAGAGATACCATGATGAAAAGGGAATCCACAGTTACTGTAGGCGGAGTTAAAAACTGTTGTAATGTGGAACATCTGTGGTGATCTCTGACAGAGGGCTGATTTCCAAAATATACAAAGAACTCAAGAAACTAGTCAGCAAAACACCAAATAACCCTATTTAAAAATGGGGTACAGAACTGAGTAGAGAACTCAATAGAGGAAATCAAAAAGGTTGAAACACACTTAAGTGCTCAACATCCTTAGCTATCAGGGAAATGCAAATCAAAACAACTCTGAGATACCATCTTAGTCCTGCCAGAATGGCTAAAATTAGAAGCACCAATGATGACTTACATTGGAGAGGATGTGGAGAAAGAGGAACACTCCTCCACTGTTGGTGGGAGTGCAAACTCATACAGCCATTTTGGAGATCAGTATGGTGGTTCCTCAGGAAAATGGGAATCAATCTACCACAGGACCCGGCAATCCCCCTCTTAGGCATCTACCCAAATGATCCACATCCATGCAACAAAGACATCTGTTCTGTTCAACTATGTTCATAGCAGCATTATTTGTAATAGCAAGAACCTGGAAGCAACCTAGATGCCCCTCAACTGAAGAATGGATAAAAAAAGATGTGGCACATTTACACAATGGAATACTACTCTGTGGGAAAAAACAATGGAATCTTGAAATTTGCAGGCAAGTGGATGAAACTTGAAGCCTTAGATTCTTAACATGGGTGAATAAAAACTTACAATAACAGTGATATTCTTATGGCTCTGTCTGAAGCGGATTAAATATGAAGAAAAACCACTGCTGTTGACAAATTTTCCACATAAAGAGATCCTCCCTTTATGCATTCCTTTGTATTGACATCTTCCATTTTAGGGGCATGTGGTACAATAATGTATCACAACTCATTTATCATTATAGAAGGAAATCTTTTCCTATATATTCATTCACAATTTTGGTTGTAAAATTTCCATGGTGAGCATATTAACATGATTGGCAACCATGTCTACACTACAGCACAATGAATTATCTCTGCCCTAAAATTGGCTTCTTGTGCTAGGAAAAAAAAACCCTGCTTGTGCCATATTTGTTCTATAATTTCATGATAGGAATACAGTCTCAGCAATTATTATGTTCTTTGGAGCAATGTGTTGGGGGGGGGTTCTCTGATACTCTCATGCCACAAAAGGAAACAGAGTGTGACAAAGACTGTAAGGAGGATAGTGAATATATACTGATTCAGTGTCCAGCATGAATAAAAATAGAGAACAATTGTATAGAAGATCAAAGCTAAGATGCAATCACGAATTGATTTCTGCAATGAGATTAAGTTCCTGATCTGAAGTGACAAATTCAGCTGGATTGTTGTTTTCCCAAGGATGACACAAGCTATCTAGAGAAGAGGATGCACATGATATTGGTAAGTAGACGTGCATGTATCATAGACAGAATAATTGAATTTCAGACCAATAGGAAAATAAAAAGTAATCATGAGACCAATATTATTGTTTGGGGACTATGGTACCCCTTTAATTTAATTTAACAATGGCAGGGATGATACCTTCCTAACCTTTTCATTTTTCACCAAGCATGGTTTGCTCTGATGTAACATGATGACATCATCCTCAAGGGCTCTCACATAATCTCTTTCTTGGTAAACCCTGTGGCCAAGGAAGGAGAACCCAACCTGGGGATCCTGAACTCTTGGAGGAAATACTTGCTATTGTGGTTGGAGAAGAAAATATGTCACTTAATGCAATAACTTGTTTTTTCACCTTGTATGGTGCCTCAGATGCATATCCTGAAGGAGAAAGAACCACAGAACTCTCAAATGGCCGTCGAAATGATCCCTGGAAATTTCTCAGGCTGATTATAGTGAAAAACTCATTTATTGACAGCATTACAAGGATACATGTAAACAAGCATGTGCTGTTATATACTGGGCACACACTGTGTACTCCACAACATCCCAATTTACATCTTGCAGATACACCTATTAATATGCTGGCATCTTGGATCATTATATCCTGGTTTTTGCAGATGCCAACTCTTACCTGTACAACTGTAACCAATTCCTGCATAACAGAAAAAAAAATACCAATTTCACAATAATGGATCTGTGGTCATTGGTGCATTTTTACCTATTTATATTTTCTTCCCAGAAAGAAAAAAGGCAGATTGGAAAAATATACCTTCAGATACAGAATATATGGGAACATAAGTGCATTGTATTGACTCATCCTTTTTAAGATCCTTGTGTCCTAGGATATGTGTGGTTTTGAACATCAGTATTCCATGCATTTCCCTTCAAGTTATGCCATGTCTATCATTTCCAGATCCTATCTTTAACTTTGTTTCTCATTGACTAATTTTGTTCTGTCTAGAGGGAAGAGATGGACTTGGTTTCAGTGGTTTGTGTTCCATATTTGACAATTGCAATTTGTGGATGAATCTTCTGCTTCTGTTAATTCCTCAGACTCTGAGCACATCCAGTACTAGCTCTGCAGTAAAAGGGCTGTTGACAGCCGTTTGTCACAGCAGTTCTGGGAATAGTGGAATTTGAAATGTGCTTTTGTTAGAGGAGATAATGTCTTTGAAACAATGACTTTGGATTCCTTCCTCAGGTTCTATAAGAATAGGACTTGTCTGTGTCATCTGCCTCTGATTTGGGTGCATTAATATCAGGATTGAAAATTTAATCATCTTACCTAAAATTTTCTATCTTTAACATTTCTCAGAATTCTCAGAGTCCTCAGGATGAAAATAAATACTTCCCACATTTTTTGATTATCAGATAATTTAGTTTTTACCATTTACCTTTTTGATCAACATCTTTCCTGTATACTTTAGCTTGAATTTATGTATGTAATTCAATAAACATAATCTATGTGATCATGTGCACTTAGGGTTTTTCCTTAGACACTCTCAAATCTTCAGGCATAGAACTAGACAGTATTTAGTGTATTTCAGTTAACTTGTTGAATTTATATAGAAATATCCACGTGCATTTCTTTTTGAAGGAAAAAATTCATACATGACATCATTCAGATAGGTCTATTACTGTCTATTAGACATAAAGATCTGAAACAGAGAAATGAAGCATGTAATCAACTCTGAACTCAACATGAGGGAATGAAAATATGTCATCAAGGTTCAGTTTGTGATCAGTTGATGGAAAATTACTGAGAGGGTGGGGTGGACTCTGGTGTATGCACCACTGCAACACTGTTGGCTCCTTGGTATGGTGATGAGTGATCAGGTCTGGACAGTGGAGAAGGGAATTAGTTCAAATGTAAAACATCATTAGACAGTGAGCATATCTTTTCACATTTTGTCTGACATAGAAATAGAAAACATGACCAAAGGAATCTAAAATTTCACAGCTAGGTGAAATATTTACAATGCATTTTTAAATTGCATTGGCCAGTGTAGATTGTTAAGGTTTTTAAAGCTGCTTTTGGATTCTCTTTGTCTTGTAGTTAATATTGGTAATGATTTAAAGACTTATTTTAAATGCAATATTATGAAAATTTATAATCTATATATGTAACTACTATAGTTATTGTTATATAACTCCTATTCTATAAGATTTTTCTTCATTTACCCTCTCCCTCCACCCCTGTTTCCCCCAACCATTTCTGCTTCCCAGGGAGGGTGAGGCCTTCCATGGGGGAATCTTCAAATTCTGATATATCATTTGGAGCAGGGTCTCCCCCATGTGTCTAGGCTGAGATATTATCCTTCTATGTGGAATGGGTTCCCAAAGTGTATTCGTATACTAGGGATAAATACTGATTCACTACCAGAGGCCCATAGACTACCCATTCCTCCTAACTAACACCCACATTCAGGGGGTCCGGGTGGGTCCTATGCTGGTTTCCCAGCTATCAGACTGGGGTCCATGAGTTCCCTCTTGTTCAGGTCAGCTGTTTCTGTGGGTTTCTCCAGCCTCGTCTTGGCCCCTTTGCTCATCATTTCTCCCTTTTTGCAGCTAGATTCCAGGAGTTCAGTTCAGTCTTTAGCTGTGGGTGTCTGCTTCTGCTTCCCTCAGCTCCTAGTTGAAGCCTCTAGGATGGCATATAAGGTAGTCATCAATCTCATTATAAAGGAAGGGCATTTAAGGAAGCCTGTCCACTATTGCTTAGATTGTTAGTTGGGGTCATCTTTGTAGATTTCTGGACATTTCTCTAGTGCCAGATTTCTCTTTAAACCTATAATGGCTCTCTTTATTATGGTATCTCTTTTCTTGCTCTCCTCTATTCTTCTCCCAACTCAATCCTGCTCCTTCATGTTCTCCTCCCCCCTCCTATTCTCTCTTTCTCTTTCTCCTAACTCCATCTCCCCTCCATCCATGCTCCCAATTTGGTCAGGAGATCTTGTCTGACATTGAATTAGAAAGCGTGATCACAGGAATCAAAAATTTCACAACTAGTTGAAATATTTCCAATGCATTTGTAAATCACATTGGCCAGTGGATTGTTAACATTTTTATAGCTGCTTTTGGATTGCTTTTATCTTGTACTTAATATTAGAAAACATTTAAAGACTCTAGTATCATTTTATCTTTATATTATGAGAATTTATGATCTATATGTGTAGCTACTATAGTTGATGTTAACTTCTTTTCTATAGGAATTTTCTCCATTAACTTGATAGTATTGAGTTGTATTATAATGACAATGAATGAATAAGGGTATATATTACATGGCAGAGTGCTTTTCAAGCATGCTCAAGCATGAGTTTATCCTCTAGCACCTTGTATAGTGTGTTCTGATTTACACTTTTATAATCATAACCCATGTGTGGTCAGCTTATGCAGACTATCCCTTTAACTCCTCTTCAGCCAGATTGCAGTGAGATATTCACTTTGTCTGCATTTGTGGCCCTGACTACGCTCATTGGGGGGTGGAGACAGGGGCAGAAGTTACCTGGGGGAACTAGGTCTGAGGAGGAGCCCGGGAGCACTCTCTTGCTTGCAGCATGCGGACAGGAGAGCATCCGGAGGAACCTGATGGTGTTCATCTATCTATGTTATAGGTTATTTCTCTATTCGGCCTATTTGTTTCTCCTGATCCTTATTAAACCACGATACCAGATGGTGATTTTGAGGCCATTATTATAAGTTAAATGAATCAGAGTACTAAAAAAGGGGGTTGACTTTAGGAATTGGTTTCCTTTGTTTGCTTCAGTGGCACTGGGCTTTCTCTGGTAACTTCCAAGACTTTCCTACCTTTTTTCTTTTCTTTTCTTTTCTTTTCTTTTCTCTTTTTTTTGGACGAGATCACATTTTTGAGCAGCAAAATGTTTACTTTCTTTTCATTCTTTTCCCTGAAATAACAACTTTTGCAACAGAATTGGACCAGTTATATAACAATCATGGTGATAGAATAAATTGTTATTCTCAATTTTCTTTTAATGTGACTATTCCTGAGCCAGATTCTTTAGGCATCTTCTTTCTACAACACACACACTGTCAGAAACAGTGAGAAGAGGAATGGACATTCAGGGTTGAGTAGTTCATTGTTGGGATGGACACATAGCATTACATTACCTTTTTCACAGAATTATAATAGCCCTGAGTTTATGTTTGTACGAATATTTAATATGAAGATGAGCTGTTGCACCTAATTCAGGTTACTCCTCATTGAAAATATATTCATTGGGGAGAGAGTGATGTTTGTTTAGATATAGACCAACAACATGCATGGTTAGAGTACCTGTGTTTCCCAGAGAACAGAGATAGGGTAATTACGGTAGTTAAGACATAATATGATTCTGGAATAATTTCCTACAAAATTTAAAATTTTGTTATAATTTGTGTCTTTCTTGTAACTTTTTCTTATTATAGCCATCACATAATTATATCTTTGACTCCTTACTTTCATCACCTAAAATCTCCTTTGTTGTACCCTTTCTCATTCACTCCTGTTTACCCAGTATATTTTATGGGCTCCTTTGTTATTGTTATTACTGTTAAATATGTATGCACAACTATATAACTACTACCTGTTGGGTACAGTTAATGTTCTTGTATGGATATGATTTGGGGGATGAGTACTTGGGGTTGGATAATTGATTAGGTGCTCACTTGTAAAATGATCATTTCATCCTGTTTTTAGGAGTAATTAGATGTCTGTGGTCCTAAGTGACTCTGCATGAGAACATTTCTTCTGAGAGTGCATGTTTGTAGTTGTCATAGTTGAGTTTTTTTTTTTTTTTTTTTATAGGAAGCCGTATTGTTGTGGTATCATGTGTATACCTTATCTGCTGTTTGTAAGACAATGTTACATATTTTCAGGTCCCCTGACTCTTAGGATATTTCTGTTCATCCACTATAATATTCCCTAAGCTTAGTTGCAAGCAATTTGTGGTAGATTTATCAGCTGTCCTGGGCACCCCTGAGGATTGCCCATTCTGTTTGAAAACTCATGTTATTCTTTAGTTATGTTCTGTTGCAACAAGAATTTTCTTTTGTGGGTGGTGGTATCAACACTTATCTATGGGCATAAGAGTAAATATTTAGAATGCTCTTAGGAGTGGTGCAGACTTAAAAAGTTCTGCCCTACTTTTAAAAAGCCCAGAAACTGCATAGAGAATACTGATGCACTATTCTGTACTGAGGAATTTAATATCTGTTTCCTTTTCACATAAACTTAAGTGAATTAATCTCTTTGCCAAAGGACATTTCAACACATAAATTTTCATTTTATTAAGCAACTAAAAGTGTCTTAATATGAACAAACCTTTTGTATATCAAACTACGGAACAATTTGAAAAAAATTAATGTGAAGCCTTGGTTTCTGAATATTCCATGTTGGAAGTTTGTTTGCTTCATTGCGTGTGTACCTTTAACCATCTAAAGTATGCTACCTTCTTCACTACAATCATTATTGTAAAGACGATGGGATCCAGAGAATATAAAGTGGTTACAGAACAAGCGAAGAAAACACATGAGCTCAGATTACAGAACTCACATCATAGTTACATTTGAAGTGCTCTTTCAGATGAGACAGGAAAATTGCCAGAAGCTTTGCTGGGGTGTGTAGCAGTGAGGACTGAGGCACATAATCTGTAGGCAGTCAGTGAAATTATCATCTGCATTTCATGCAAAAACACTGAAAATTTTTCCCCACAAGAGATGTACACCCAAGCCCATCAGAGACAGAAATGCTGACACACAGCATATGCACATGCAATATATGATAAACATGTAACTTTAAAAACCAACTATTGTCACAGATAAATTGAATTCAGTGAGGGAGGTTTATTCATAATAAATTGTCTCAGGAACCTGGGAACCTGGTGGCTTAATAGGGAAACAATTACATTTCAGACTTTGGAGAATACCATATTACACAATTTTAATCAAAATGATTTATTAGAAGATGTGAAATTATGTGCTTTTAAAAGCACATCCTTTTAAACTGTAGAAACCATTTCATTTAAATTAGACATTTGATTGTTACGGGTTCCCACTTGAATACTAATGCTTTCATGCAGGCTGATGGAGCAAAACTACCAGCTTCTTTTGGCGATATTATTTGCCATTGAGGAAATCAACAGGAACTCCCATCTTTTACCAAACATCTCTCTGGGGATTGAGGTTTATAGTCTCCCATTTTCTGAAATGAATGTTCTAGAGAGCGTGTTTTATTGGCTCACAGGTTTGAGCATCTTCAGCCCTAATTACTTCAGTGGGATAGAGAGCAAATCAGCAGCTTTACTTACAGGAATAAGATGGAAAACATCTGAACTCATTGGGACAGTGCAGCATCTTTACAAATTTCCTCAGGTGAGTGAGAATGGCGTGAATGATGAGTAGGCAGATCTCTTTCACACATTTTAACGGTATGCAAAATAAAAGTGAGAAGTTTTAATTACAATAAAGGAATAACTACAAACATTGATGAAGACACAACCATATTTTTAAGTTTGAAACGAAGGCAAAAGGGTGAACGGTGGAGAGGGTAGGTTGAGGTTTTGATACTTTTTAGTGATTTTCTGGAAACCTTCAGATAGTAATATATGTCTTTAAAAGCTGTTGAGCAGAGCTGGCACTTCAATCTGCTGTTCAAGACTAAAATGTCCTTCATGGCAGTGCTTGTTCTACTCTTAAAAATTCTGTTTTTCTTTCAGCTTACTTTTGGGCCTTTTGATCCCAGTCTGACTGAAGGAAGCCAGTTTCAATCAGTGTATCAAGTGGCTCCCAAGGACACATTTCTGCCACATGGCATTGCTTCTTTGATGCTTCATTTCAGCTGGAACTGGGTGGGGCTGCTCATCACAAGTGACCACAGAGGTGCTCAGATTCTATCAGACTTGAGAAGGGAGCTGGATTGGAATGGAGTCTGCATCGCTTTTGTGGAAACAGTGTCAGTTATGGGCGACTCAATGTATTCTGTTCCCTTTCATACTGTGGCATATATTCTGGAATCATCAGCAAACGTGATTGTAACTTATGGAGACAGTACTTCTGTATTAACTATAGTAGTAAACACTTGGGAAAAACTCATATCTAGGAAAGTTTGGGTCATGAACTCACAATGGGGTGGTAGCAGATTGTATGAATATACCATGTCAGATGCATTCCATGGAAGTCTCATTTTTGCACCCCATCATGGGGAGATTTTGGGTTTCACAAAATTTATGCAGGAAGTCACCCCTATAAAGTATCCAGAAGACATTTATCTTCATATATTTTGGAACTTTTATTTCAATTGCTCACTTTTGCCTTCTAATTATCAAATCTTTGAAAACTGCCTGCCCAATGCCTCCTTGGAATTGTTGCCAGGGAACATTTTTGACATGGCCATGAGTGAAGAGAGTTACAATGTGTACAATGCTGTGTATGCAGTGGCCCACAGTCTCCATGAGATGACTCTCAATCAATTACAAGTTTAATCGGGAGCAAATGAGGATGGAACTATCATGTTCCCCTGGCAGGTAATTTCCTTTTTGTCGTATTCTAATATCAGAAGCAGGACACCAGATGCAGAAAAACCATTTAATATAGTTATTTTAAATTCCTGTTTTTTTTCTCGAGTTATATTAAGGTGGTACTATATATTTTGGGGATAAGTTATCAATGTATGTCCATGTCAAGGTATATGGTGCATGGAGGTAACACTGCTCAAGTTGAAGTTTTCTTTTAAGAAAATAATCACCCTTTTGGTTGAAACAGAATCAATATATTCTCTTGATAATAACCGAGTGTGAAAAAAATACCCTTCCTTTTTCATTTCTCACAAAACAAAGAGCAAAACAAATGCATATATTTCTGTACATCAATCATTGTTATATTCTTCCAAGCATTCCCGATTGTCCAACAAATCAAGTAACCTCATGTTCTTTACCGAAGTTTCAAGAAATTCAGGCAGTTTATTTAAGGAGGTAGCTAGTTTGTATAGAAATTGAAATTTGCTTACTACACAATCCTTTATCACTTCATGGTGCTTGGTTTAATTCATTTTATAGAAAAAAATGACATTTCAGTAACTCAATGATAGCTAATTCTCCTAGCCTTTTCTTTGTTCAATGTTATAGATACTTTATTTAAAACAGCATTAACATCACACATTACAGCTTACAGTTGTAACTTCATATTTGTTGTTCTGTTATACATCAGTGACACCAATTTTATGACCAGATTTTACATTTATCTAGCTTCACCCTTTTCTGAAGAATATTCAAGTGAAAAATTCTGTTGGAGATCTTGTGGTTTTGGACCATAAAAGGAAGCCAGATGGGGAGTATGATATTAAAAACGTTTGGAATTTCCCAACAGGCCTTTCACTGCAGGTGAAAGTGGGTACACTTTCTCCAAGAGCTCCACAGGGGCAACAATTGTCAGTATCTGGACACATGATTCAATGCCTACAGTATTCTCAGAGGTGGGCATCTGTCTTTCTTAGGTTCTTATGAATGTTAATATAAAACAATGTTTCTGGATCTGATGACACTAACTAAATTGGGCTCCATCAATATACTCATAGCTTTCCACATAAAAATTTTCACTGATTTATTATTCCGATGAATGTATTTCCTGATATGTTTCTAATTATCCATTTATTTTGACATTTCAAAACAAGATATGAGGCTGGGCATTGGTGGCATGCACCTTTAGTCCCAGCACTTAGGAGGCAGAGGCAGGCAGAACTCTATGAGTTTAAGGCCAGCCTGGTGTGCTCCAAAGCAATACAGAGAAACCCTGTCTCGAAAAACCAAGACCAAAACAAACAAACAAACAAAAACTCAAAACAAAACAGAAACAAAAAACAAGATATGAATTAGTATTGTGTGCCATCATTTTCACAAAACAACTGATAGGATGCTTATTTTGGTGTAGGGTCTTAGTTAATTATTCTCAAGTTGATATAAATTAAGAGTTACCTGGGAAGAGGAATCTCAGTTGAGGAAAAATAGTCAAAAGCCTGGCCTGGATTCATGTGGAAAGAGCCATCAAAATTAGAGTCTTGGTGGCAGGCGGTTTTCAGTTGTTTAAGAAACAAAGCTGAGGAATCCATGAATTTTAATGGTCACCATTTCAATTCCCATCTCCAGTTTTCTACTTTTATCTCCTTTACTTACTTCCACTGAAGATAATAGGTGGGGTAGAAGTGAAAAATAAAATAAGCCATTTCATCCAATAATTAGCTATTGGCATGCTGTTTCACCACAACAATATGAACTGTAAAGAAGATAACTGGCTTAGAGTGTTATAGTCAATCTTTGGGTGGACTTTTGCTTTTAAGTGAAGGCAAACTGAACAAAATTGTAATGTGTCCATGTTTTACTTACCTATCTTGTCTTTTGGAAAATGTAGATGACAAAATTAACATGAGAAATTTGTTTATCTTTTTTTTTATTTTTTCACATAACTAGAAAAGAATAATGTTATTATTTAAATAGAAAAACAAATATTTTAATTAGCCAAAGCTACCCTGAACAAAAATAATCAAGCAAGGTAGGTATTACAGCATCTGATTTCTATTTCTAATTGTACAAATTGCAAGAATGAAAACAGAACATGTTGGCATACATGCAGGCACAAATATAACAGAATAGACAGACAAGAGGTAAATCTACATATACATAGCCAATTCAGTTTCAACATGGGTGTTTATAACACACTTGAGTACTGTTAATGTTTTTAATAAATAGCTTTTTGAAAAATGTAGTATCCATATATAAAAAGTAGTACACCCCAATATTTCAGCAATTATTATAATAAACTTAATACATATTAAATACTTATACATAAGAATTGAAGCTATGAACTGTAAGGTGAAAATACAGGAGCAACACTTCAAGACATTGGAATGAGCAAGTATTATTTAAAACTGAATAGCTGAACAACAAATGAAAGAACGACAGTAGCAAGTCTGTCTTTATCAATAATTACTTTTAAACATATGGATTAAATTTCTCCAACCAAAAAATAGAATGATTCATTGGGTGAAAACAAAAACATAAAACAGTAATAAATACTCAAATGCATGCTGTCTACAAGAGACTAACTAAATTTAAAGATGCACATATGCTGAAAGCAGAGGAATAGAAAAGAATATTTCTTATAAAGGCAATAAAAACAGGGTAGCCAAACTTACTTCAGAAAAGTTACAATTTAATGAAAAAACCTGGCATTATATAACAAAGGAAAATATACTAGGTATACATTTACCTGACATCAAAGGACCTAAATATATTAAGCAATATTGGCAGCAATAAGAACAATAGTAATATAATAATAATTGAAGACTTATTACCTCACTTTCTGTAGTAAGTAAACCTTGTCTAGACAAAATAGAGAACCAGACAGATACAGAACATTCCACCTAAGAGTGGCAGACTGTATGTCTAATTCAAGTGCGTAGAAAATATTTTATGGAATATACCAAAATGAGTTTTAGTAAAATTTAAGAAGGGCCAAAATAGCATTGTCTTATTAAAAAGGACTATGGGTTACCTCCCTCAGGATGATTTTTCTTCTAGTTCCATCAATTTGCCTGCAAATTTTGTGATGTTATTTTTTTATCATCTGAATAATAAACCATTGTGTAAATGTACCACATTTGTTTATCCATTCGGTTTAGGGATATCTAAGTTGTTTCCAGTTTCTGGCTATTACAAATAAAGCTACAATGAACATAATTGAGCTAATGTCCTTGTGGTAGGATGGAGCAGCCTTTGGATATATGCACAGGAGGGGCATTGCTGGGTCTTGAGAGCACTCTTTAAAAAGCATTTACCATCTTCAAGTACCAGACAAGTGCAAGTTTAGAACCCATTTTCTATCTACTAGCTAATGTAAACTAAAGAATAGTTTTTTGATGGCCCTACTTTTAAAAAATGTACACAGATCCTAAAGAGTTGCATAGTCTTAGGAAGTAACTTAGGAAAGAATGATCTTTGTATGTCATACCACATGGAAACCCGGAGGTCCACAGCAGGTACCTACCTTTATAAACATAAAATTAAATCAAGATTTATTATGTATTCTAAGACACACCGTTTACTCAAGCTGTGATTAAGAGGTATGTGTTTTGTATCTTATACTAAATTTTCTTCAGATTCCTAAATCTGTATGCAGTGAGAGCTGCAGTCCTGGATTCAGAAAAACCATCATAGAGGGAATGCTTGCCTGTTGCTTTGGCTGCACTCCTTGCTCTGAGAATGAGGTTTCCAATGAGACAGGTAAATGCCAAGTATCTCTGAGGACTTACTGTCCTTTCCATAGTTTTCTGAAGTTCTAAGCTAAAGAAGAAAAATGTTTCAAGATGGCCATAACTGTATCTCAAGTTAGCAATTTAATCTTTTACTTCCATTTATTTATTGAAATAACAGATAGTTGACTCATTTTGTTGTATCTGTTTCAGACATTGTTTCCTAGAGAAACCACTTTCTTTACAGCAAAAATGAATGTACTATTTCACCAGGGGATTTACTTGACAATATTCAGAGTACCAAGTTTTCATGATTCTCAAACCAAGTTTTAATCCCAGTTACGACACATCCAAAAGTGTTGTCTTTAGCTTTACAATCATAATTCCCTCACAGCCTTGATTCATGCAGGAAGTCAGGAAGGTTTGTTTCATTTCCCCAGTTCCCTTTGCTGTACTGCAATAAGTAACTTTTTAAATTTAGCTTAATAATAAGAGGTTATTGCCATCCCCTTTCCTATTTATGTCCTATATATGTTCATCAATATGTTATAGTAGGAGGCTTATGGGATGCAATGCAAAACAGAATCCATATTTAGTATGGTGTTTCATAAACTTTTTTTATTTATTATTTTACATGTCGATCCCAGTTCCCTCTCTCCCTCCCCTTTACCCCCTCTGCCCCCTCACATGCACCCTGACCACCCTCCCTTCCCACCCCCCCACCCCAATTCCACATGTAGGGCAATGCCATCCAGGTGGGGTCAAGTAGGTCTGTCAGGTCATTTGAAGTAGGGACTAGGGCTTCTCACCTGTCTCTAGGTTAAGGCAGTATATCCCTCCATGGGGGATGTGTTCGCAAGTCCTTTTAACATTCTCCCATTGAGCATTATGATTTCAAAATTTAATATTTGTGCTTATACTAATGAAGTTGAGAACATAATTATTTCGTATCTGAAAATTTGATGACTGCGACATTGGCGATTTTTTTCAGAGTATAAAGTGATATTACTCAATAACTCATTAATACCCAAATGCTAATAGTACATGAACATTTTCATTATATATCTATAATTTAAAAAATATGTATGTATATCAAATTATTTAATATGTATTTGAAATGAGAAAACATGGTACCTGAACAACAATTTAATGTTGGTGGAGTGGATAGCCTGAACTCTGCTGCACACCTCTGTGATAACACACAAGGACACCCAAATGAAAGATAATAAATTCTGTGCAAACTTGAGCAAAATTTGCAAAACTTGTGACCAAAATAAGTTGAGTAAACATAAGAAAGTCACAGTGTAAGTGTAAGCAGAATATTTTAGAGTAAGAACTGATTTATTCCACAATGAATAGGAAAAGAAAGTAGAGAGGATTTGCTGTCATTTTCTTTCATGTGAAACAGCAGGCTATTTGATGATTTATCCAGTATTTTGCATAACATAATTTTCACATTGAATAATTACTTAGTGTTAAGAATACCACATTTCTGAAATGAAACAAACAACTTTCATTTTTAATACAACAATTTGGAGGGGTTGAAGGGAATGAGGAACTCATTTAATTGTATAAAAATCTCACCAAACCATCTAAACCAGAAAAACCCCACATGACCACATAATTAGATGCTGAAAAAGCCTTCAACAAATCCATCACCCCTTATTGATAAAGGTCTTGGAAGAGTCAGGCATAAATAAAAGTAACATATCAAAACATAATAAAGGCAGTATACAACAAACCAATAGCCACTACCAAAGTAATTGGAGAGAAAATCAAAGCAAATTCCTCTGTAATCTGGAACAAGACAAGGCTGCCACTCTCTCCATACCTCTTCAATATTGTACTCCAACAAAAAGAGATCAAGGGGATACAAAATGGAAAGGAAGAAGTCAAAATTTCAGTATTTGCAGGTGATATGATAGTTTACATAAGTGACCCCCAAAATTCTACCAGGAAACATCTACAGCTGATAAACACCTTTGGTAAAGTGGCAGGATGCAAGATTATTAAAAGTAATCAGTAGGGCCATTAGCTCCCCCTTGTTCAGGTCAGCTGTCTCTGTGGGTTTCTGTAGCCTGGTCTTGTCCCCTTCTCTGCATCTGGATTTCAGTTCGGCTCAGTGTTTAATTGTGGGGGTCTGCTTCTGTTTCCATCAGCTACCAGATGAGGGCTCTATGATGGTGGATAAGTTAGTCATCAATCTCATCATCAGGAAAGGGCATTTAAGGTAGCCTTTCCACTGTTGCTCAAATTGTTAGTTGGGGTCAGTCTTGTAGGTCTCTGGACATTTCTCTAGAGTCAGTTTTCACTTCAAATCTATAATGGCTTCATCTCTCTCTCTCTTTTTTTTTTCTCATCTATTCCTCCCATGACTCTTTCTTCCTAGTCCCATGTGCTTTCCTCTCCTCCTGTTCTCTTTCTCCTAGCTTCCTCTCCATTCACTAAATTAAAAAAATAAAATCAGTACGTGTCCTATATAAAGATGATAAATGTACTAAGAAAGGAGAAGCATACTCCTTCACATTAGCCACAAATAACCTAAAATACCGTAGGGTAACTCTAAACATGTTAAATACCTGCATGAGAAGAACGTTCTTTAAAGAAAATAATTAAAGAAGATATCAGAAAATTGAAACATCGGCATCTGGGGAGAGTGGGGAGCGTTTTGTGCTTTAAAAGAAGAGCTCTTCGATATTGGTCTAGTCAACAACCCACTATGCCGCTCCCTGTTGCACTGCAGACCTGCTTGGCGAAGGGGGGCATCCTCAAACATCTGGAGCCCGAGCCAGAGGAAGAGATCATTGCCGAGGATTATGATGATGACCCTGGCGACTATGAGGCCACCCGGTTAGAGGGTCTGCCACCGAGCTGGTACAAGGTGTTTGACCCTTCTTGTGGACTCCCTTACTACTGGAATGTGGAGACAGCTCTCGTGTCATGGCTCTCACCACATGACCCCAACTTCGTTGTTTCCAAATCTGCCAAGAAACTCAGAAACAGTAATGCAGATGCTGAGGATAAGTTGGACTGGAATCATGAGAAGCTGGACAGAAATCATGAGAAGGCAGACCGGGATGGAGAGCGGAGCTATGACAAAGTGGGGGGGGGGGGGAGAGAGAGAGAGAGAGAGAGAGAGAGAGAGAGAGAGAGAGAGAGAGAGAGAGAGAGAGAGAGAGAGAGAGAGAGAGAGAGAGAGATATCGGGACAGGGAAGGAGATCGAGACCATGGGTATAACAAGGAAGATGGCAAAGACCGTCGCCACCATCGCAGAGAGGAACTGGCTCCTTACCCCAAGAGCAAGAAGGCGGTGAGCCGGAAAGATGAAGAATTAGACCCCATGGACCCGAGCTCATACTCAGATGCACCCCAGGGCACATGGTCAACAGGACTGACTACCCAAGAGGAATGAGGCCAAGACAGGGGCAGACACGACAACCCCTCTTCCAGCAGCGCCCCTCCCCCTCCCCAGGGGCTGTGCTCCGGGCTAATGCTGAGGCCTCCCAAACCAAGCAGCAGGACTGAACCTTTGTTCCCTGCAGCTTTGGCAGTTTGCCTTTCTGTCTTTCTTCCTTGTGGCTCTGGAGATAGGGCCCAAAGCTTTGCATAGACTGAATAATTATTTCACAAATAAGCTATACTCCCAGCCCCCTTGTTTTTAATAAAAGCCTTTTTTTTGTGGATTATAAAAAACAAAAAACAAACAAACAAACAAAAAAACTGAAACATCTCTCATGTTCTTGAATAGGACAGATCAACCTTGTAAAAACAGCAATCTTACCAAAAGCAATCTACAGACTCAATGCAATCCCCATCAAAATTACATTACAATTCTTCACAGACCTTGAAAGAAAAATACTCATTGTAAAAAGAAAAAAGCCAGGATAGCTACAACAATCCTGTACAATAAAGGAACTCCTGGATATATCACCATCCCTGACTTCAATCTCTATTATAGAGCTATAGTAGTGAAAACAGCTTGGTATGGGCACAAAAACAGACAGGTGGATGAATGCAATTGAATTGAAGACCCTGATATTAATCCACACATCTATGGCCACCTGATTTTTGTCAAAGAAGCTAAAATTATGCAATGGAAAAAAGAAAGCATCTTTAACAAATGTGATGGCGTAAGTGAATGATTACATATAGAAGAAGGCAGAAAGATCCATGTCAATCACTATGCACAAAGCTTAAAATCAAATAGATAAAAAAACCTCAACATAAATCCAGTCACACTGAAACTATTAGAAGAGAAAGTGGGAAGTACCCTGGAATATATTGGCACTGGAGTTTACTGCCAGAATCTTACACCAGTAGAACAGATACTGAGATTGAAAATTAATAAATACGACCTCTGGAAACTGAGGAGCTTCTATAAGACAAAGGACAGTCAACAGGACAAAAGAGCAGCATACAGAATGGGAAAAGATCTTCACCAATCCCACGTCTGAGAGAAGGCTGGTCTCCAAAATATACAAAGAATTCAAGAAGCTAGTCATCAAAACACCAAATAATCCAATTTAAGAATGGGGTACAGATCAAAATAGAAATTTCTCAACAGAGGAATCTCAAATGCCCTATAGGCACTTAAGAAAATTGCCCAACATTCATAGCCATCAGGGAAATGGAAATGCAAATCAAAACAAACCTGACATAGCATCTAACACCTGTCAGAATGATGCGAATAAAAACACCAATGACAGCTTTTGCTGGAGAGGATGTGGAGAAAGGGGAACACTCCTCCATTACTAGTGAGAATGCAAACTTGTACAGCCATGTTGGAAATAAGTATGGTGGTTTCTCAGGAAAGTGGTAATCAATCTACCTTAAGACTTAGCAATCCCACTCTTAGGCATATACTCAAAGGATGCACGTTCATATCACAAGGGCATCTGTTTAGCTATGTTCAGAGCAGCATTATTAGTAATAGCCATAACCTGGATGCAACCTTAATGACCCTCAACTGAAGAATAGATAAAGAAAATGTGGTACATTTACACAGTGGAGTACTACTCAGTGGCAGAAAACAATTACATCTTGAAATCCACAGGCAAATGGATGGAACTATAAGAAACTATCCTGAGTGAGACTAGCCAGACAGAGAATGACAAATATGCTATGTACTCATTCATAAGTGAATTTTAGACACAGTGCAAAAGATAACCAGCCTACAATCCACAATTCCATAGAAGCTAGGAAATAAGGAGGACCTTAAGAGAGACATGCTTGTAGTACCTGAGCTGGGGAAAGGGACAGGATCTCCTGAGTAAACTGGTAGCATGGGGGAGGGGGGAGGAAGGTAGGAGGAAGGAGAGAGAAGAAGGGGAGGAGAAGAATATGAGGGATCAGAAGGTTGATCGAGGGAAGAAAAAGGGAAGGAAAGAAAGGAAAAGGGTACCTCATAGAGTGGGTCATTAGCACACTAGGAGAATTCTCAGGAATCCACTAGGTTGACCCCAATTAAGAATCTAAGTAATGGTGGAGAGGCTACCTTAAATGTTCTTCCCCTATAATGAGATGGTTGACTACCTTAAATGCCATTATAGAGCTTTCATCTAGTAGCTGATGGATGCAGAAGCAAAGATTCATAGCTAATCACTAAACTTAACTCCTGGAGTACAGTTGTAGAGTGTAAGAGGTGATAAGCAAAGGGATCAATACCATGCCGGGAAAACCCACAAAAACAGCTGTCCAGAGCAAGAGGGAGTTCACAGACTCCATACTGCCAGCTGGAGAACCTGAATAAGACTGAACTAGTCACCATGAACATGGGAGTCAGTTTGGCAGCTTGGGCATTCTATGTGGCCATTGGCATTTGAACCAGTATTCATCCCTTGTGTATCAATTGGATTTTTGGAGACCATTCCCTTTGGAGGGATACTTTGCTCAGCCTAGATACAGGGGATAGAGCCTTATTATTGCCCCAAATGAGATGACAGACTTTGAGGATTCCCCATGGGAGGCCTCACCCCTCTGAGGAGTGGATGGGATGTGGAATGGGGAGTTATATTGACAGATTTTCATATGCTGAACCATTATTGCATCTCTGGGATGATGCCTACTTGATCATTGTGTGTGACCTTTTTTCTTGGATTTGGTTTCCCAGTATTTTTATTGAGTACTTTTATATAAATGTTTATGAGGGAGATTGGTCTATAATTCTCTCTCTTAGTTGTGTATTTGTATTTTTCTGGATCAATGTCACTGTTACCTTACAAAAAGAGTTTGATAATGGTCTTTCTATTTATGTTATGTGAAACAACTTGAGTATTGGTAATAGCACTTTGAAATTCTGCACTGAAACACTTGGGCCTTGGGTGTTTGTGTGTGTGTGTGTGTGTGTGTGTGTGTGTGTGTGAGCGCGTGCGTGCGCGCGTGAGAGAGAGAGAGAGAAAGAGAGAGAGAGAGAGACTTTTGATGACTGCCTCCATTTCCTTGAGATTATAGGTATATTTATTTGCTCTTGGCTTAATAATGGCATGCGGTACCTATACAGAAAATTGTTCATTTCTTTTAAAATTTCCAATTTTTTGGAGTACAGCTTTTCTAAGTATGATCTAATGATTCTCTGGATTTCCTCAATGTCTATAGTTATGTCCCCCTTTTCATTTTTGATTTTTTAAATTTGGATACTCTTTCTCTGCCAGTTGGTTAGTTTGGATAAAAGTTTGTCTATTTTGTTGATTTTCTGAAAGAGTAAAAACTTTGTTTTATTGATTCCTTGTGTTGTTCTCTTTGTTTCTAGTTTATTGATTTCAACCCTCAAGTTGACTATTTCCTGTCCTTTACTCCTCTTGGGCGAGGTTGCTTCATTTTGTTCTAGAGATTTAGGGTTGGTGTTAAGTTGCTAGTGTGAAATTTTTCCACATTCTTTTTGTAAGGCACTTACTACTATGAACTTTCCTTTTAGCATTGTTTTCAAAGTATCTCATAAGTTTGAGTACATTGTGCTTTAATTTTCTTTGAATTCTAGCAAGTCTTTACTTTCTTCATTTATTTCATTCTTGACCTAGTGATGATTCAGTAGAACATTGTTCAATTTCCATGAGTTTGTAGGCTTTCTGCAGATAGTGTTGTTGAATTCTAACTTTAAGCCATTGTGACCTAATAAGATACAGGGAGTTATTACAATTTTGTATATCTGTTGAGATAAGCTTTGTCACTAAGTATGTGGTTAGTTTTAGAGACTCCATGAATTGCTGAAAAGAAGGTATATTCTTTTGTATTTAGGCGAAATGTTCTATAGTTGTCTGTTAAGTCCTTTTGAGTCATAAGATCTGTTAGTTCCCTTATTTCCCTAACTAAGATTCTGTCTGGCAGCCCTGTCCAGTAGTGAGAGTGGGTTGTTGAAGTCTCCTACAATTACTGTGTGGGGTTTAATGCATGATTTAAGTTTTAGTGAGTTTTCATTGACATTTGTGGGTTCTGTTGTATTTCGGGTGTAAATTTTCAGAATTGAGTCTTCATCTTGATGGATTTTCCTTGTGGCGAGTATGAACTGTCCTTTCTTGCTTTTAGTTAAGTTTAGTTTGTAATGTATTTTGTTAGATATTAGGATAGCTACACCTGCTTGTTTCTTAGGTCCATTCGATTGGAAGTTTTTTTTTTAACTAAATAATTTTATTTTCTTTTATTTTACATATCGATCCCAGTTCCCTCTCCCTTTCTTCCTGCTTCCCTCCCTCCCTCTTTCCCTCTCTCCTCCCTCACATGCACCCCTCCCACCCTCCCACCCTCCCCTCCAAGCCCCCCACTACACATGTAGGGCGATGTCATCCAGGAGGGGTCATGTAAATCTGTCAAGTCATTTGAAGTAGGGACTAGAACTTCTCTCCTGTCTCTAGGTTAAGGCAGTATCCCTCCATGAGGGATGTGCCTGCAAGGTCCTTTTGTGTACCAGGAATACATACTGGTTCCACTGTTTGAGGTCCCTTAGACTGCTCAGTCCTTCTAGCTGAGACCCATGTTCAGGTGTTCTGAGTCAGTCCCAAGCTGGATTCCCATCTATCAGTCTGGGGGCCCATTAGCTCCTCCTTGTTCAGGTCAGCTGTCTCTATGTGTTTTTGCAACCTGGTCTTGTCCTCTCCCTCTGCATCTGGATTCTAGTTCGACTCAATGTTTAGTTGTGGGTGTTTGCTTATGTTTCCAACAGGTACTAGATGAGGGCACCATGATGGTGGCTAAGTTAGTTGTTGATCTCATTATTAGGGAAGGGTATTTATGGTAGCCTTTTCATTGTTGCTCAAATTGTTAGTTGAAGTCAGTCTTGTAGGTCTCTAGACATTTCTTTAGGTTCAGTTTTCTCTTCAAACCAATAATTGCTTCCTCTTTTATATTCTCTCCCTCTCTCCCTCTCTCTGTCTTCAATTCCTCCCCTGACTCAATCTTCCTAGTCCCACATGCTTTCCTCTCCTCTCCTTCTCTTTCACCTAGTTCCCTCTCCCCTCACTGCCCCCCCCCCAACTTCCCATGTGCTCTGGAGAACTTGTCCCTTCCCCCTTCTGTGAGGGACTTTATATAAATCTCTTAGAATACACCTTGTATCCTAGTTCCTCTGGCGGTGTGAATTAAAGGGCTGATCCTTTGCTCTAAGTCTAAAATCCATATATGAGTGAGTACATACCATGCTCCTCTTTCTGT